TTCCTTCCTTTAAAACCATTTTTAATAGTTATAATGATAAATACCTTTTAAAAAAGTCCTTATGTATTAGTCATTGCTGTTGCAAAGTACCTTATATGTGTTATTTACTTTTACAACCACCCTATTAAGAAGGGACTAGTTTACAGGTGAGGAAACTGAAGTTTATAGAGATGAAGTCATCTACCCAAGGTTATCTAGGGTCTGCCTGATTCTCTAGCCCATGTTCTTAAATCATTCTATCCATATTGTCTCCCCGTAATTAGCACAATTGGTACCCTTTGCTTTCCACCTGCTGTCATTTAGGATAAAGCTTATCCTGAATCTATGTGACATATGCGCTAAATGGCCCAAGACTGACAGATGGCACAGTTTAGTTTCATACATTAAATGGTTCTTTTATTGAACTAATAAATTATCAATATATTTCAAAAGAATTAACAAGTGTGGAGCAGAATGGCACAATATAGAGGAAGAGGGCTTTGAACTCACAGAGACTGCAGTTTGAGTCCTTGTGCCAACACTTAAGTCATCTTAAACAAGTTATTTGACTTCTCTAAGCTTCAATTTCCTTATCTAAGGACAATCTGAAAATATTTTATAGCTGTGAATATTAAATGCATGAATGAGAAAGCATTAAGAGAACATTGTGAGGGCTCAATAATAATTATTTATATAATTCTGTAGAGGTCTGCTTCTAGCTCTAGAAGATTCTTGCCACTTATATTTATACTTGATTTTTAAAATACTTTTAAAAATGTTCTGTTAATGAAGTCAACAAATATTTATTGAACAACTACATTGTTCTAAACGTGGTTCTATAAACCAGACACTCACAACTCTGGTAGATATTACTGTAAGGACCTTAATAGCAAATTTTTTTTAACTCCCAAAATAGAGAATTCCCTGGTGGTCCAGTGGTTAGGACTCCATGATTTCACTGCTGAGGGTCCACCCAGGGTCAGGGAGCTAAGATCCCACAAGCTGCGTGTTGTGGCAAAAAAGAACCCCAAACACAAAAAACAAAAATAAACTCTAAGTACACGAAGTAATTTCATTTGCATCATATAGTATTAAACCAAAACCCAAGAGGGTCTTCCCTGAAGTCTTCTCAGACTTCATCTAGTCTTACTCCATGCTCCTTTCAGCAACTGCACCTTCTCCTGAGCTGTGTTCAGACATCACGTCTAGGCAGATGATTACACACTTCAACCTGAGCCCTAATATCTTCTCCTGAACTCTTGCTGGATATTAACTTTGAAGTGTCTATAAGAAATTCATCATTTCTCCTCTTCTTCGTCCACTGCTACCACCAAAACTAGCTCTTCCTCATCCCTAATCTGCACTGTTAGTGGTTTCAAACCTCAAAATTATCTTGCTATCTCTTGTTCTCTTGTCTGTAATTAGTGTTCTTCCATATACCATTCAGATCTATTCCTTCTTGTCCATTCCTTCCACCAACACTAGTTTGGGACCTCATTCCCTCTAACTTAGGCTATCAAAAGGCACTTGATGTCACTTTTATTTGTTGAAAAGAATAATTATAAAGACTATGGCAAACAAGGGAAATATATTAACTGAATGGACCCTTAAAGTAATTAAACGCAATGTATACTACCATTCCAACCATGTAGAAAAAGTATATATAAGAGGACAAGGATAAAATGCAAAGATGAACACTGTTCAGCTGTTATTAATAATAGGATAATGGGTGGTGTAGTAAAGATGTTAAACAGAAGTCCCCAACCTTTTTGGCACCAGGGACCAGTTTTGAGGAAGACAATTTTACCACAGACCAGGGCAGGGTGGGAGATGGTTCAGGCAGTAATGCCAGCGATGGGGAGCGATGGGGAGCGATGGGGAGCAATAGGGCGCGGCAGATGAAGCTTCATTCGCCTGCCTGCTGCTCACCTCCTTCTCTGTGGCCCGGTTCCTAACAGGCCACAGACCAGTAGCAGTCCGCAGCCCAGGGGTTGGGGACCCCTGAAGTAAAGTACCCAAAGTACCCATAGCCTCTCCAGAAGGAAAATTCTCTAGGCAGCCATATTTAGTACCATATCACCCTCCTTTCTTCTGATCCTTACCCACAAGCATAGCCGGTTACACTAAGGATGGATCCTCAGTCTGACCCGAGGATAGCCAGTAATCTCTGAGGTAGTCTGGTGTGGAAAACTGCCCCCAAAAGAGAGGAGCTGCACCAGGAGTTTAAATTAGAAAAGGCAGAGAAAACAGGGCAGTTATAGTGAAAACTTCAACATATATATAGAGAGAAAGGCTACAGTGTGAGATATGAACAATGAGGAGCCATAAGCGAGCTAAGGTTACAAGTATGCCAATCCAAAGAATGGGGAGAAGCTAAAAGATGGAGAAAAGAAACATAGGCAGACACACAGCTGGTGGCAGGCACAGTGAGAAGCCAATACAGAGTGATTCACTGAGTCATGTTATTGGTGTAGTATGAGTATGAAGAACTTGGCTCTGCCATTTACCAGCTGTGTAACCTTGGGCAAGTCCTTTACCCCTCTGTACCTTTATTTGCTCATTTGTGTAAAGGGTGGTTTATCTAACTGGGTGGTTACGAGGCCTGAATGAGTAATGTAACAGTGCCTGGCACACAGAAAGCACTTGATAAATGCTATTACTATCACATTCATCATTATCCACAAGCTCCTGCTAAGCTTCCTGAAGCTTCCCTGAGCCAAAATGCTCAGTAGAGAAGTATAGTACCTCTACCTGCTCCAGAGAGACTATAGTTCTGATCCTTGGATTTCCAAAACAGCATATTTCCTTTAATGTTCTAAATATCCTTTCAATAAAACTCCTCATTTAAAATGTAAATGGACTTAATAAAAGAACTACAGGCATACCTTAGAGATATTGTGGGTTCTGCCCCAGACCACTGCAAAAAAGTGAATATCGCAATAAAGCGAATCACATGAATTTTTTGGTTTCCCAGTACATATAAAACTTATGTTTACACTATACTGTAGTCTATTAAGTGTGTAATAGCATTATGTCTAAAAATGTATATATTTTAAAATACTTTATTGCTAAAAAATGCTAACCACCATCTGAGTCTTCAGCAAGTCAATCTTTTTGCAATAGTAACATCAAAGATCACTGAGCACAGATCACCATAACAAATATATAATAATGAAAAAGTTTGAAATATTGCAAGAGTTACCAAAATGTGACACAGAGACACGAAGTAAGCAAATGTTGTTGGAAAAATGGCACTGACAGACTTACTTGACACAGGGTTGCTACAAACCTTTAATTTGTAAAAAATGTAATAAAGTGAAGTATGCCTGTATTTACAAACAGATTTATTTTACTATATTTTATTTTATTATATATTTTACTTTTACTATTAGGGAGAAATTTTACCATCACCAGAAATACATATAAGTGTTCCCTTTTGTCTCTAAGTTGCTGACTCAAGAAAAGCATTAAGAAAATCAATTCTTTAGAACGTACCCATGAAAACAATCCTTGATGTCCTCAATCTGAAAACCCTGCTCAAAAATCTCCTTTCTGGGGGCTTCCCTGGTGGTGCAGTGGTTGAGAGTCCGCCTGCCAATGCAGGGGACGCGGGTTCATGTCCCGGTCCGGGAAGATCCCACATGCTGCGAAGCGGCTGGGCCCGTGAGCCATGGCCGCTGAGCCTGCGCGTCCGGAGCCTGTACTCCGCAATGGGAGAGGCCACAACAGTGAGAGGCCAGCGTACAGCAAAAAAAAAAAAAAAAAAAAAATCTCCATTCTGAAATCTTCCTTTCCTGACAATCATTTCATTTCCTTATTTCCTTCCCTTTTCCTTATCAGTTAAGTATATGATTCTGATTATATTTTTTCTATATTGTTCTTAGGTTGGGTTATCTTTTGTTTTTCCTAATTTCCTCATGTGTTTGTTCCCTCTCACCTATGACAGTATGAACCCCAGAGAACAGGGACTTGTCTCTTCCATTTCTTTTGTGGCAGCAGGAGTGTATAACGAAATAAGAAGGAGATTTAAAATAAGATGCTAGAGATGCTAGAGTCAAGCCCCAACTCTCTCACTTCCTACTTCTCTCTTTGGATAAGTCACTCAACCTGTCTCAGACTCCATGGCATTTTTCTATAAAAAAGGAAACAATATCCATCTGATTTCAAAGTCCATGTGATTTCTCACTCTGCTTCTCTGACTCTGATGGATGGCATTCATGAAGAGTTTTATAGTTCCATCCTTAGGCACATGCAGTACAGCTCACATTCAAACCTAAAATTACTACGTGGAGAACGATAAAATAACAATTGTTACGGACAAACGGCGAAGGCCACCTGATCTGGATTTGTGGAGGGCATTTACCTTCTCACAGTTTATCTTTAAAGCAGTGCCTGGAATTAGCTTCCAAGTAACTGTATTTCATCACTTAATCATAAGCCATCATGGTTTGCCCCCCGCCCTGCTCCCTAGCAAAGCAAGTTCATTAATCTAACATTAACTTGTCACCACTCGTTGGCAGACTCTGAGCTTTTACCTGGCCACAGAAGAATGTGACTTCATAACTCTGACATGAGTATGATTTAAAGCAAAAATCTCATTTGGCTGCACTTGTGATTTTAGCTTAAACTCCTTCCTCTCCTTCTCTCCCCTGCCCCCGCCCAAAATTTATGACAAAACAAACAGCATAAATTAAACAAAAACTGTTGTAGGTCACATTATTATTCTCTTTTGCAGAATCATATAAAAAATAATAATTTATTTCCAGAAATTACCCAAGTAAAATATTTGGGATTCTAACTAATACAGCTGAACAAGAGAGAGTATTAAAAGTATCACAAAATTACCACCTAGGGGGGTGGGACAGGGAGGGTGGGAGGGAGATGCAAGAGGGAGGAGATATGGGGATATATGTATCCTGATTCACTTTGTTATAAAGCAGAAACTAACACACCATTGTAAAGCAATTATACTCCAATAAAGATGTTAAAAAAAAAAGTATCACAAAATTAAATTCACTTACTTGACATTTCTGACGCAATTGTCGTAGTTCTTTTATAACTGGAGCTAGAGCTGATTTCTTTTCAGATACCAGAGAATTTAGTCTTTTCACCTGTCATTTAAACAAAATATATGACATCTAAGAAAAGAACTCAAAAGAACAAAAATACCATAAAGGTATTTATTGAAGTGTTATATATGAGTGAAAAAAACTATAAATTACTTCAATGTCAAACAATGGGGAAGTCATTTAGTAAGTACTGATTCCTCAATAAGAAGGAATATCATTTAACTCTTCAAAATGTCAATTATTAAAACTGCAAACCATTATGGGAAAATATTTACAATCTAGCACTGAATAACTAAAACAAATTACAAAGTTGCCTTTATACAGCTTTGTATTATGTAAAAAGTATATAATTATGTAGGTTATATAAAATACACATAAACATAGACGAAGTGATATTCAAGATAATTAATAACCCAAAAGGCATAAGTAATGACCAGTCAGAATGGACACCAGCCATAGAGATGAACAGGGTCTTGGAGGCCTCTGCTGTACTAAATGTTCATCTTTATAGGAGTTAGAATGTGGTGAAATCCAGAGGGTTCTGGGACCAATGTGGACAAGACAGGTGGAGGTGGGTACTCTGAGAGTTTGGGGCAGCAGCTATTTACCAATAAGTAGTGAAAGATTTCAACATTTTAATGCCTGATGAAGCTGTATCCGTGCATTCTGGCTGAATAGCAGTCCTGAATACAGAAAGATACTAAGGACATACACAAAAATGAAATAATTGTATTAATTTAAGTAGCATGATTTGGAGAAACTTGTTTTTTATCTTAAATATTTCTTTAATACCATGTAACTTTTTTTTTTTGGCTGAGCTGTGCAGCATGCGGGATCTTAGTTCCCTGACCAGGGACCGAACCCGAGCCTCCTGCAATGGAAGCACAGAGTCCTAACCACTAGACTGCCAGGTAATTCCCAATGCTATGTAACTTTTACACACTTCAAAAACCACAAAATTGAACAACCTGTTTACAACCTCATTAGAATGGAAAATTCAAAAGAGAGTGATAAAGACGTGAAAGAATGTAAAGAAAACAATGCGCAGAAATGAAAATTTGAATGCTTCACTGAAAACAGAACACAAAAATATCTGCCTCAGAGGTAGACCATAAAACAAATAAACAAACAAAGCCTGTGTAATCACCATTTCAGACATGTCATCCAGTGTTCGTCCTTTCACTTCATCAACTTCACTCTTCAGGGCGGATACTCTTTCTAGCTCTTCTTGGGTGTAACTATATCCAGATATACCCTTTTTCTCCTCAATAGTTTGCTAAAAGTAAAGAATAAAATAGGTGTAAAAAATGGGGTCCACAAAATGGGTGTCAAAACCTTGATGATTCCATAATAAGTATATAGATTTAATAGGTACAATAAAGTTGTAAATAAAGTAGTTTAAATCCTAAAGAACAATCTTTATTGACTTCAACAATAATTACGTTCCTTTATATGTTATAAACTTATACTGAAGAACTGAGAGGATGGAGCGCCCATTTGTTGAGATGAGGAGGACTTGGGAGGAACAGGTGAGGGAGGAGTAAAGATCAGAAGTTTAGTTTTGGACATGTTACAAATCTGAAATCTCTAGTAGAAATCCAAGAGAGTTCAAGATGTTGCATATACAAGACTGGAATTTGAGAAGCAACTGGAGATACAAATTTGTGAGTTGTCTGCATAGACAATATCTTTAAAGCCATAAGAGAATAAGATCACCAAAGGAGTGAGGGTAGAGAAGAGATCCAAGGCCTAAGCCTGGGGAACTCAAAACATCTAGGCTTTGGAGAAATGAGAAGAAATCCGCCATGGAGTAGGAACAGGAGTGTTAGTAAGGGAAAAACAAGGAGAGTGCAGTGTGCTAGAAGACAAGTAAAGAAAAATTTTACAGGAAGAGGGAGTTATGAACTATGTCAAACACTGCCAATAGGAAGATAACTAAAATGAATCTGTATGGATTAATCTCAGGATATTTTCAGTGGATACTGTGGGTGCTCTGCCCTGATCTGCTTATTGTGTCAGGGTACCCATCCCCTAGCTGTTGTGAGAATTGGTATTTTGATGGTCTACAGCTGTCCCTTCTTCAAAGTGTACCCCTGGTTTAACAGGAACTGTATCACACCACTTCTTGGGTGGTAGTAAGAGGGTCCATAGCAAATTACTGACTGACACAGGGGTCCAAAGGGGTAGCCCTCTTGCCTAAAGATGAGACCAACTCTGTGATGCAATTCATGCTCCAGAGCTCCTTATGCAATCAGAATGAAATTGGAGTCCAACTGAATCCACTTTTTCCTCTTGCTTCATCTTTTTTCCTAAGAGCACTCACTGAATTATTCATATGAGGAGGAATAAGAATTCTTGTTTCAGGTTCTGCTTCTAGAGAACCTGACCAAACTACAAGGATGGGCTTCTAAGGTACGATCACTCCCTAAGTGAATGGAACTGAGAGCCCTATCACTGGGGGCAAGCAGAGTATCGTTAGTCCTAGGCATGTTATAGCAGTACAATTGCTAAGACTGGTGAACTAGGGCAGAATATAGGTGGAAGGGATTATGGTGGGCATGACAATGGAAGGCTTGAATCTCCTTCAAGAGAGTCTGCTGAGAGGAACAAAGTTGACTGACAGCCATAACTGCTGCCCCTCTGGATCCACCATCACGTTCACACCAAGGCCATGCTTCCCCCAGGCTGTTCCCAGCCAGAGGCTGACCCATTCCTGCCTGACAGGGAACTCCTCTAATTGGTGACTGGCTCAGGAACTCCCCATCATCCCAACCAAAACTTCCTTAAAACTGTGCTTACAGCCTAAGGCTCTTCTTCTCCAATCCTCCTTCCTTCTTCTTCCTTCACAGAACAGCCTAAAGGCATTTAGAGCCTAAAGGCTCTCCCTGCCGCCTGCTGCTCAATTCCCTTTACCCTTCACAAAGGCTTCCTCCAATAAACCTCTTGTACATCTAATCCAATCTGGGCGTATGCTTCTTGGAGGACCTGAACTATCACAGGAACATACTAGCTGGTACAGTGTTGCTGGTGTTCGAGAAGCATGAAGAAATCGTAACTATAAGGACTATGAAATTGGGGTGGCTGTTGCTAAGCTCAAATGACAGGCTCAAATCCATTAATCAGTAATTTAAAGCAAAGTGATAAGTCAGAGAACCTCCTTAGGAGCTTTAAAAAAACCCTCATTTCCTGTGGCTATGAGGCAGAGAGAGCTGAAAACCACGGACAGGACTTAAATTGTAAGACTGGCCAAACTTCAGAGAAGGCTGAATATATCCTATGTCAAAGTCAGGGCTCTGACAGGGAAGGGAAAGGGTGCTGAGTCTGAAATGGGGATAACTGGATAGGCTCACTTGAGAACCTTAAAACCCCAGATTATCTTTTATCTTCTGGGCAGTGGCAAATGGCTTAGCTTGTTGGGTCAGGGGCCTGGAGGAAGCAAGATAGCAAGACTAAATGACTGGGGACAAGGAGGTCTCGGGATTGAGCTATAAGAGTTAACACTAAGTGTGAAGATCTCTTCATCACATGTATATGGCCACTGGACAATGTCCACAGTAGAAAAGGCACTCAGCAGCCGAGTGGAAAGGATGATTTGGCCTTTCCAAAAAGGCCAAAAAGGCTGACAGTAGATGTCAGCCAGCCTCTGTCATTGGCCACCCAGTGTGTGGACAATGGGCTCATGAACAGAATGGCTATGTTGGCAGAGATGGAGGCTAAGTATGGACCAAATAACATGGGCTCTCTCACTAATGCTCATCTAGCTAATGCTACTGCCAAGTGTCTGAGCCGGCGGCAACACAGACCAATCCTGAATTCTGGGTACGGAATCATCCCTTGAGGAAACTGATCATCTACTTAGTGGCAATTTGATAACACCAGATTCTTTCTACCTTGAAAAGAACAACACTTCATCCTGAATGAGACTGACCCATATTGTGGGTAAGGGTTTGCTTTTCTTGCCCACAGCGCTTTAGGCAGCACCACTATCCAAAGGCTCAGAATGTCTGGTCTACTGATGTGGAATCCCACATAATATCACCTGAGACCAAGGGACCTACTTTATGGCAAAGTAGGTATGGCGATGGGAACATGACCACAGGATTCAGTCACTGTACCACACACCATCCAGAAAGCTAATGGCCTGACTGAATAGTGGAAGGGCCCTATGAACGTACAGCTAAGGTGCCAGCTTGGAATTCATGGCCTGTGAAGATAAGTTCTATTCTTCATGATGGAGTGTATATCTTAAACCAATGCCCATTACATGGTGTTGTGTTCCAAATAGATCCAAAGACCCAAAAATACATGGGTCTTGGAACCATGAGATGAAAGTATGAGTGTTATCACTCACCAGAATTCCTACTCATCCACAGGGAATTATGCTTCCCTTCTTGACAACTTTAGGCTCTGTGGGTATAAATGTTCTGGTTTCCATAAGGCACATGCTTCCACCGGAAGGCACATTGAGAAGCCCTTTAAACTTAATGCTCTGCCTACCATCTTGTCACTTGGGCTCCTCATGCCCACAGACCAGCAGGCAGAGAAAAGAGTGATTTATTGGCAGAATATGTTAAGGGTATACAGATGCTGTTATATAATGAAGGACAGATAGGAATAAGTTTGGCATTCAGGTGATCCATTAGGGCATATCTTGGTACTCTCATGCCCAGTTTTAACAGTAAATGGGTAAGTTTACCAACCACAGCCTGATAAGGGCATTGTACTAGAATCTCATACCTCTTAAGGATGAGGGACTGAGTCATCCCACCAAGTGAGTCATTTAGCAGTCCCAACCTTTTTGGCACCAGGGACCGGATTCGTGTAAAACAATTTTTCCACAGACGACGGAGGGTGGGGGTTGGGGGGATGGTTCAGGCAGTAATGCCAGCGACGGGGAGCGGCAGATGAAGCATTGCTGGCTCGCCTACTGCTGACCTCCTGCTGTGCAGCCCAGTTCCTAACAGGCTGCAGACCAGTACCGGTCCATGGCCCGGGAGTTGGGGACCCCTAATAGACCACTGGAGGTGCTAGCCAAAGGTGTGGGGAATCTAGGATGGATGGTAGAGGAAGAAGATATTGAGTATCAATTATGTCCTTGGGACCAAATGAAGCAAAGAGAGTTTTAATATGTCCTCCTCACCCTCCTGTTTTCCTAGAAATTTTGACCAACTGTAATCCTGTATAAACTATACCAGGATGGAGTGACTTTAATGTGAGAAGCAAGTAGATCTCAGTAGTACAAGGGGTGGCTTATAGTGAATGCTGTTGGTGCTCTACTCAAACCTCATCTGCAAGCTGCAATGAGTGTTGACTGCTAATGGCTCACAGATGCCCCCTTCTCCAGAACATGCCCTTAGCCCAATGGGGGCTGCCTCATCTAGAAGGTTATACCGTGCAATAGCCAATGACTGACTGATATGGTAGTATAAAAGGCCAGCCCACTTGCCTCAAGGTGGAATCAACTCCATGGTGCAATGTGTACTCCAAAGTTCCTCATGGGATCTAAATGAAGCTGTTTTCAGTCGGGAATACATCCTTGCTTGGCTTTTTTCTGCTGCTCCATCTGTTTCCCTCATTCCCTTTCTTCTGAAGGTACTCCCTTCCTCAGTAAATCACTTGCACCAAGTATTCCCCTCTCAGGCTCTGCTTCTAAGGAACCCAGCTTAAGAAAAGATGTAAAGCAAAAACTGATGGAACTAAAAGGAAAAAGATCATAGATATTCTAAAACATCTTTTTCAATAACTGATGGAATAAGCAGATGAAAATATAAATAGAAACATGAATACATGGAGGCTAAACAATACACTACTTAATAACCAAGAGATCACTGAAGAAATCAAAGAGGAAATCAAAAAATACCTAGAAATACATGACAATAAAAACACAACAACCCAAAACCTATGGGATGCAGCAAAAGCAGTTCGAAGAGGGAAGTTTATAGCAATACAATCCTACCTCAAGAAACAAGAAACATCTCAAATAAACAGCCTAACCTTACACCTAAAGCAAATAGAGAAAGAAGAACAAAAAAACCCCCAAAGTTAGCAGAAAGAAAGAAACCATAAAGATCAGATCAGAAATAAATGAAAAGGAAATGAAGGAAACAATAGTAAAGATCAATAAAACTAAAAACTGGTCCTTTGAGAAGATAAACAAAATTGATAAACCGTTAGCCAGACTCATCAAGAAAAAAAGGGAGAACACTCAGATCAATAGAATTAGATATGAAAACGGAGAAGTAACAATTGACACTGCAGAAATACAAAGGAACATGAGAGATTACTACAAGCAACTATATGCCAATAAAATGGACAACCTGGAGGAAATGGACAAATTCTTAGAAAAGCACAACCTTCCAAGATTGAACCAGGAAGAAATAGAAAATATAAACAGACAAATCACAAGCACTGAAATTTAGACTGTGATTAAAAATCTTCCAACAAACAAAAGCCCAGGACCAGATGGCTTCACAGGTGAATTCTATCAAACATTTAGAGAAGAGCTAACACCTATCCTTCTCAAACTCTTCCAAAATATAGCAGAGGGAGGAACACTCCCAAACTCATTCTACGAGGCCACCATCACCCTGATACCAAAACTACACAAACATGTCACAAAGAAAGAAAACTACAGGCCAGTATCACTGATGAACATAGATGCAAAAATCCTCAACAAAATACTAGCAAACAGAATCCAACAGCACATTAAAAGGATCATACACCATGATCAAGTGGGGTTTATCCCAGGAATGCAAGGATTCTTCAATATACACAAATCAATCAATGTCATACATCGTATTAACAAATTGAAGGATAAAAACCATATGATAATCTCAAGAGATGCAGAAAAAGCTTTGGAAACTTCAACACCCATTTATGATAAAAACCCTCCAAAAGTAGGCATAGAAGGAACTCACCTCAACATAATAAAGGCCATATATGACAAACCCACAGCCAACATCATTCTCAATGGTGAAAAACTGAAACCATGTCCACTAAGATCAGGAACAAGACAAGGCTGCCCACTCTCACCACTATTATTCTATTATTCAACATAGTTTTGGAAGTTTTAGCCACAGCAATCAGAGAAGAAAAATAAATAAAAGGAATCCAAATCAGAAAAGAAGAAGTAAAGCTGTCACTGTTTGCAGATGACATGATACTATACAGAGAGAATCCTAAAGACGCTATCAGAAAACTACTAGAGCTAATCAATGAATTTGGTAAAGTAGTAGGATACAAAATTAATGCACAGGAATCTCTTGCATTCCTATACACTAATGATGAAAAATCTGAAAGAGAAATTAAGGAAACACTCCCATTTACCATTGCAATAAAAATAAAATACCTAAGAATAAACCTACCTAGGGAGACAAAAGACCTGTATGTAGAACACTATAAGACACTGATGAAAGAAATTAAAGATGATACAAACAGATGGAGAGATATACCATGTTCTTGGATTGGAAGAATCAACATTGTGAAAATGACTATACTACCCAAAGCAATCTACAGATTCAATGCAATCCCTATCAAACTACCACTGGCATTTTTCACAGAACTAGAACAAAAAAATTTCACAATTTGTATGGAAACAAAAAGACCCCGAATAGCCAAAGCAACCTTGAGAAAGAAAAACGGAGCTGGAGGAATCAGGCTCCTTGACTTCAGACTATACTACAAAGCTACAGTAATCAAGACAGTATGGTACCGGCACAAAAACAGAAATATAGATCAATGGAACAGGATAGAAAGCCCAGAGATAAACCCACACACATATGGTCACCTTATTTTTGATAAAGGAGGCAAGAATATACAATGGAGAAAAGACAGCCTCTTCAATAAGTGGTGCTGGGAAAACTGGATAGCTACATGTAAAAGAATGAAATTAGAACACTCCCTAACACCGTACACAAAAAATACACTCAAAATGGATTAAAGACTAAAATTAAAGACTAAAAGACTAAAAAAGACTAAGGCCAGACATTATAAAACTCTTAGAGGAAAACATAGGCAGAACACTCTATGACATAAATCACAGCAAGATCCTTTTTGACCCACCTCCTAGAGTAATGGAAATAAAAACAAAAATAAACAAATGGGACCTAATGAAACTTAAAAGCTTTTGCACAGCAAAGGAAACCATAAACAAGACGAAAAGACAACCCTCAGAAAGGGAGGAAATATTTGCAAATGAAGCAACTGACAAAGGATTAATCTCCAAAATTTACAAGCAGCTCATGCAGCTCAATATCAAAAAGACAAACAACCCAATTTAAAAATGGGCAGAAGACCTAAATAGACATTTCTCCAAAGAAGATATACAGATAGCCAACAAACACGTGAAAGAATGCTCAACATCACTAATCATTAGAGAAATGCAAATCAAAACTACAATGAGGTATCACCTCACACCAGTCAGAATGGCCATCATCAAAAAACCTACAAACAATAAATGCTGGAGAGGGTGTGGAGAAAAGGGAGTCCTCTTGCACTGTTGGTGGGAATGTAAATTGATACAGCCACTATGGAGAACAGTATGGAGGTTCCTTAAAAAACCAAAAATAGAACTACCATACAACCCAGCAATCCCACTACTGGGCATATACCCTGAGAAAACTATAATTCAAAAAGAGTCATGTACCAGAATGTTCATTGCAGCTTTATTTACAATAGCCAGGATATGGAAGCAACCTAAGTATCCATTCACAGATGAATGGATAAAGAAGATGTGGCACATATATACAATGGAATATTACTCAGCCATAAAAAGAAACGAAATTGAGTTATTTGTAGTGAGGTGGATGGACCTAGAGTCTGTCACACCGAGTGAAGTAAGTCAGAAAGAGAAAAACAAATACCGTATGCTAACACATATATATGGAATCATAAAGAAAAATAAAAGGTTCTGAAGAACATAGTGGCAGGACAGGAATAAAGACGCAGATGTAGAGAATGGACTTGAGGACACGGGGAGGGGGAAGGGTAAGCTGGGATGAAGTGAGAGAGTGGCATGGACATATATACACTACCAAATGTAAAATCGATAGCTAGTGGGAAGCAGCCGCATAGCACAGGGAGGTTAGCTCCGTGCTTTATGAGCACCTAGAGGGGTGGGATAGGGAGGGTGGGAGGGAGACACAAGAGGCAGGAGATATGGGGATATATGTATATGTATAGCTGATTCACTCTGTTATAAAGCAGAAACTACATACCATTGTAAAGCAATTATACTCCAATAACAATGTTAAAAAAAAAAAAACATGGAAGATTTGAGTATCATGGTTAACATACTGGACTGAATTGACTTTTATGGAACACCATCCCCCACAACTGCAGGATATATATTCTTCTCAACTGCACATGGAAAAATGATCAAAACAGACCACATGCTGGGCCATAATGCAACATTCAAAAATTTCAAAGGACTGAAATCACGGAGTATGTTTCCTGGTTACAGCGGAAATAAGCTAGAAATGAATAACAGAAAGGTAACTAGAAAACCCCCAAATGTTTGGTTTTAAGCAATGACCATAGGTCAAAGAAATCACAATGAAAATGAGAAAATATTTTAAAGTGAGCAATAATGCAGTTACTACATATCAATTTTAAAAGTGCTGTTACAATCTATGTTTAGTGCTGTTAGAATCTATGTTTGATGCACTGTAAATTTTCAACCTTAAGTTCCCTAGAAGCAAACAATATTCAACAGCATGAGACAGAAAAGTTCATATTGCCAGCTAATTACAACTGGTTCAAATTTCATTCACCTCTACCAGATTATTGCTAGCTGGTAAGCCAACATCCTGATGAAATAATTTCCCCATGGGTAAAAGAAAAAAAAAAAGCCAAATCAAGAAAACTCAGAGGAACTGGTACCCACGATGAGAATAGCTTTGCTGCTAGAGGGATTTCTCTGGGTTTAACTTTTTTCTGACAACCAAGGCACAAGTATATAAGGAACAAGCCTGCAGGCAAACTTCCATACAGAACCCTCCCTGGATACTTCTTTCCAAAGCTCCATGGAAGTGGCTGCTTAGATTTCTGTCCAGCAGGCCACGATAAATAAATTATTTTATAGTCAATCTCTTGGTATGATCATTTTGGTCATATTAACTAGCTAACCAAAAGAAAAACCTACTTAATAGAATTCAACTTCTATTAATTACCCCAAAGTCAGAACACATAAAAAAGTTAGTGCCTACTGCTACAGTAAAATACAAAAAATCAGCTTTTATGTCATCTCTGTAATTAATCAGAGAAAATGAATAATTTTATGGTTTTTCTAATAAAAACAATGACCTCAGTAAAAAGCTATAACCTATAAACCTCCTGGCATTTGTACTTTTAGAACCCCAAGATAACACTGTATTACCAGTTGATGTTGAATATTTTCATGACGTTGCTTAAGAAGTTCTTCTGTCCTCTGCAAGAGACCAAATTCAGCTTTAAATTCAGCTATTATCTGATGCTTCTTTTTGAAAACTGTACTCTTGCTTCGAAGTTTACTGACATATCGTTTGAACTGTAAAAGAACATAACATGTAGTTTAATAAGTAGAAAAGTAGTTGCTAAATATATATAACCTCAGTGTATTAGAAAAATTTTCTTTTCTACCATCCTACATGTGGGTCACAAGTACATAATATTAGTCTTATTAGAAAAGTTGGAAAGACTGTTCAGTTAAAATATTTTGTGTATGTTTTTATTTTTTGGACCCATTAAACACTGTAAATCATTATACAAAAGCTATTTATTTGGGGCTTTACAAATAAGGATTAGGAAAACAGAAACTTCAACACTATAAAAGTAAAAAGGTTAAAAAGAAGAAGGGACTTCCCTGGTGGTTCAGTGGGTAACACCCCATGCTCCCAATGCAGGGGGCCGGGGTTCAATCTCTGGTCAGGGAACTAGATCCCGCATGCATGCTGCAACTAAGAAGTCTGCATGCCGCAACTAAGATCTGGCGCAGCCATAATAAATAAATAAATAAATATTAAAAAAGAAGAAGAAGGAAGTAGAAGACCATTTCTGGTTGTGGTCTTATTATGATAGCTCTCATGTACTGTACTATTTTGGTGGCACTGGATCTACTGGGGTTAAAATAGCCAACCAGAATAGTCAACACTTGTAGCTACTATTTATCATTTAAGAAAGGTACTGTGACCATATACCCTAAGAAGCATCTGAAGTTCATCCCAAATGTTAAAAAGCTAAAAATATTCCAAATTAGTGGGAACTCATAGTTGCTTAATTCAGCTATTTACCTACTAATGATATTAAAGTTATAACTACTCTAATGGAAAGACTCTGTTATTAAATAATACCAACAAGAGTTTGGAAAAACAAGTGAAGTGAATATTTAAAGGAATTCATTTGACAAGTACTATTTATTAACTATTATGTACTAGGCACTGTGCCAGACGCAGAGAATACAATGCTAAAGATGCTCACATGTCCTGCCCTCATCAAGCTTAAGGAATAGTGGGGGAAATAAACATTGAATTGATGTTCACAACCATGGTGAACATTATGAAGCAGTGAAGGGGCCCTGAGAATAAATAACAGGAGTTTAAACTGGGTTGTGATGAAGGTAGGAAATGTGGGGTTGGATTTTAGGGAGGTGGGTTTTGACAAGTTTCTCAAAAATAATTTAAGCCAAGACTGAAGTAGCAGGAATACATAAGAGGAAGGACGAAGAAGCAAGGAAGAGCATTCCAAGTAGAGGAAACAGCAGGTGTAAAGGTCCCAAGGCACTGGCTCATTAAAAGTATTGCTCAATATGAGAAGCAAACGTGAAAATTTTCTGTATTTCTGAAACAGAACATAACACATTAAAAAAAAATCACTTTCTCTTATGTACCATTAGTACTAAGAATTTTTACTACATAAAGTATTTTTTTCTGCTCCAACCTTTTATTAACTACATTATTTTTAAAATGTCCATAGTAAGAATCTGGCTTATTATACTTAAACTCATCACTTCAAAACAAAAGTAAGCCTCCATATTACCTAATATGAGAAAATTCTTTGATAATCTTAGCCTTTTAAATGCCCAATTCTTTACAAGGATAATTGGGGGGGTTATAAATAATTTTATAAATAATAAAAGTAATGAATGTATTACTGAAATTTTAGAAAACGGAAAAAATTCACTCAAAGCCACTACCCCAATGCAAGCTCTATTATCATACGGTATTTTACCTCCTAATTTTAAAGGCTAAATCTAAGGTCAGTAATTATAAATTGTAAGGTAGCAAAATAGGAAGGAGAACATTTCTAAAATTTAGGTTTTTTTTCTTAAAGGCTTGATTGATTCCTGAATACACAAAGTCCTTAAAAATAGTAAGATTAAAAATTCTTCACATAAAAATAACCCTCTAATTCCTAGTTTAGACATCTTTTTTTTTTTTTTTTGCGGTACGTGGGCCTCTCACTGTTGTGGCCTCTCCTGTTGCGGAGCACAGGCTCCGGACGCGCAGGCTCAGCGGCCATGGCTCACGGGCCCAGCTGCTCCACGGCATGTGGGATCTTCCCGGGCCGGGGCACAAACCCATGTCCCCTGCATCGGCAGGCGGACTCTCAACCACTGCGCCACCAGGGAAGCCCTAGACATCTTTTTTAAACTTGACTTAAACTTTGAAAGAAATGAGGAACACATTGTGTTTTAGAGGAAAGAAGTTCAAAATATTTTTCTATTCATGACTGAGTTAGTTTCAATATTAAGGAATCCAGCCCACAAAAAGCAAATTATCAACGGCTGTATTACAGAAACAGTTTAAAAAATTTAGTCATACCAATGTACCTAGAATCTAATTACTTGCAATTTTTCCTTTTAAAGAATAAATGTGTAAGCCTGACATAACCACCGATTCAGAATCCCCAGACTAACCATATGTTCTATTAAAAGTGTCCTGGGCAAAGTGCCCAAAATGAAATCAATCCTGTTCATCTGCTATCCTCTGTATTATCTAGGCCAATCTTCCCCTTCTCTATCTTGCTGTGCTCTGGAACTATTTTTAAAAGCTAAAAGCTATAAATGTTTTTGGTGAAAGAACAAACCTACCGATTACTCAATGTGCTCTATGCTGATTGGTTATTATTTGGCATTCACTGGACAAACTACCTAGGGGAAAGGGACTCAGGGTCAGATTAATGACAGTTCCATAAAATTAAGCAATAGGTGGCCATCAAAGCACTCTAAGAGTTCCATTACCTTAGACTGAATTAGAGGAATTAGAGGGAAAAAAATGCATTATCCATGATTTTCTTCCATTGGAAGCTTTTTCTAACTATCATTTGGATTTTAGGTTATTTTTGAACTTTCAGATTATTGAAAAAAAAACCATGATAAAAATATTGAAGCTAAATCTTGAGACACATTCTTAATAATTTCTATAGGCCATACTCCCAAAAATGGTCAGAAGGAAATTTTTTTTTACCTTTAACTTAGTTTTATTTTTTTTATTTTTATTGGGTTTTGATACCTTCTGCCAAACTGCCCTTCAAAGGCTATTTATAGTACTGTTTATAATTGTCAATTTAATAAGCAGAATAGTATCTTATATTTTGTTTGCATTTCTTTATTAGGGAACTTCACTTTTTGCCATGTTAATTGTGCATTTGTGTGGATTTTTTAAAATGATATGCCTGTCTTTGGCTCATTTTTTAATTGGAGCCTTTCTTGTGGATCTGTAATAGTGATTTTCAAACTTTTGGGTCTTAGGAACGCTTTATTAACGATCTCAAAGGGATTTTGTTTATGTACATTGCTGGCATGATAAATCTGAGGAAAAAGAATAGAATACTCATTAGCAAACCAAATCCTACAACACGTAAAAAGGATCATACACCATGATCAAGTTCGATTCATTCCAGGGATGCAAGGATGGTTCAACATATGCAAATCAATCAATGTGATACACCACATCAACAAAAGAAAAGACAAAAACCACATGATCATCTAAATAGATGTAGAAAAAGCATCTGATAAAATTCAATATCCATTCATGATAAAAAATTCTCACCAAAGTGGGTAAAGAAGGGGACATATCTCAACATAATAAACCCATTTATGACAAACCCACAACCAGAAGCTGAAAGACTTCCCACTAAATTCTGGAACAAGTATGCTCACTCTCACCACTTTTATTCAACATAGTATTGGAAGTCTTAGCCACAGCAATCAGACAAGAAAAAGAAATAAAAGGTAACCAAATTGGAAGGGAGGAGGTAAAATTGTCATTATATGTAGGTGACATGATACTCTACATAGAAAACCCTAAAGACTTCACACAAAAATTATTAGAACTCATCAGTGAATTCAGCAAGGTAGCAGAATACAAGATTAATATACAGAAATCTGTTGTATTTTTTTACACTAACAATGAAATATCAGAAAGAGAAAGTAAAAAAAAAAAATTCTGTTTAAAATCATGTCAAGGGAATTCCCTGGCAGTCCAGTGGTTAGGACTCCACGCTTTCACTGCCAAGGGGCCAGGTTCAATCCCAGGTCAGGGAACTAAGATCCTACAAGCCATGTGGTATGGCCAAATAAATAAAATAAATAAGAAAATAAAATTAAATCACATCCAAAAAAAAAAAAAAAAAACCTAGGAATAAACCTAACCAAGGAGGTGAAAGACCTATACGCTGAGAACTATAAAACATTGAAAAAGGAAACTGAAGATGATTCCAAAAATCAGAAAGGTATCCCAAGCTCTTGGATTGCAAGAATCAATATTGTTAAAATGGCCATACTACCCAAAGCAATCTATGGATTCAATGCAATCCCTATTAAATTACCCATGACATTTTTCACAGAACTAGAACAAATAATCCTAAAATTTATGTGGAACTACAAAGGATCCTGAATTGCCAAAGCAATCCTAAGGAAAAAGAACTAAGCTGGAGGCATAACCCTCCCAGACTACAGACAATACTACAAAGCTACAGTAATCAAAACAGCATGGTATTGGCACAAAAAAAGACATATGGATCAGTAGAACAGAATAGAGAGTCCAGAAATAAATTCACACACCTATGGTCAATTAATCTTTAACAAAGGAGGCAAGAATATACAATGGAGAAGGGACAATCTCTTCAGGAAGTGGTGTTGGGAAAGCTGGAGAGCTGTATTACCCCAGCCTTCACCCCATACACAAAAATAAACTCAAAATGGCTTAAAGACTTAAATATAAGACATGACACCGTAAAACTTATAGAAGAGAACATAGGCAAAACATTCGCTGACGTAAACTGTAGCAATGTTTTCTTAGTTCAGTCTCTCAAGGCAAAAGAAGTAAAAGAAACAAATGGGACCTAATCAAACTTATAAGCTTTTGCACAGCAAAAGAAACCATAAACAAAATGAAAAGACAACCTATGGAATGGGAGAAAATATCTGCAAATGATGCAGCTGACAAGGGCTTAATTTCTAAAATATACAAACAGCTCATACAGCTCAATATTAAAAAACACAAAAATCCAATCACAAAATGGGCAGAAGACCTAAATAGACAGTTC